AGGCGGCGGCACGGCCCGGGAGCCCCGAGAGCACGGCCCGGGAGCACGTAAGTACGGCCCGCGGGAGCCCGGGGCTCCCACAGCGCGCCAGCAGCAACACCTCACCCTCCGCTGAGGGGCCCCAGCTCCTGCTGCAAACAGCTGAGGGCCCAGGGCACGCTCAGCTTTGTTCCTCTGCTTTCCCCGGGAAGGTTTAAAGGGATTTACAGCGAGTTTAGAGCAGGTTTAATTCCTCTGGCGCAAACCAGACTCAGATCAAGTCACCACAGAGTCCGTTTTTGAAACTCCTCAGTCATTTCAGGGATCTAAATTTGAACTCTGACTGAAGGGGACGTGTCCAAGCGAACAGTGTTATCCAAATTTTCTATCGGCCTGATTAAAAAACCAATCCTTTCCTTCCTTCTCTTTACTCATTTTGAAAGTTAACCGGCCACAATTCAAACGGCAAAACACATAATTAAATAAATAGAGCAAATTCAAACGCCAAAAGCGTAATGAAATAAATGAGACAAATTCCTTGAGCTGCACCTAACATGAAAATGAATCTCAGCTGCTCATTAGAGACTGCCGAGCAGGGGATGTGGGCAAATTAAATCACGGGAAGTAGAGGGAGGCACAGAAAAAAGGTTGATTAGCTAAATCTCCTCTTATTAACTGCAAAATATTTTTTCACGATTGAAGGTAGTAAAACATGTTAGTGGCAAATGGAAAAGCCTATTTGTGCAGTTAAAGTAAAAAGCGAGGAGCTGGGCAGAGCAGAGGAATGAGTAAACAAGGAACATACCACTTTATTTTCAGGGTGGGTTAGCAGCGAGTGAGGCTTGTTCAATCTACGTCCAGGTGTTTGCCTCCTTACTCTCTCTGGCAAAATTCTCACTTGGTTTCCCCAGGTTAATTCAGATTTTGCTGGGGATTCAGGTGCTGCTGGTCTGGTTTGCCTGTCCAAGGCTTGCGTGTGGTGGCTCAGGTGGGTGAGTAGCGTGGGCAGTGCAAGTGGCACATAGCACCCCGTGAGCCTGAGCCATTGTCCTTCACCAAATAGAGTCAATTCAGCTGCATTTTGTGTGTCTGTCCAATGCACAGGCCAGATTGTCTCTCCTACCTAACACCACCAGGCTCACTGAAGCAGGAGGCTGAGCTCTGGGAGGGACCACCACTGTCCCATGACACTCCAACTGGCCCTCATGGGAATCCAGACCCAGAAAAGCTTTTAAATCTCTCCCATGCACTCATTGTCAGGCCTTCTTTATAACTGTGCTTTAACATACTTGGTTTTGTTGTATTTTTAACCTTGAAAGCCTCCTCACTGTCTGAGAAGGTGGGGAACAGGGAGCGTGCCAAAAGCCAGGTCTGCTTCAGTGGTGGTATGGGCAGCAAATCACACTTTGGGGCCTGCTCCAGAGGTCACCACTTGTCTTTGGGACTACCCCAAGGACAGTAATTAGCAGGCATTGGTAATTGATCTAATGACTCTTGTAGCAGCATGTGCTGGAGGAGGTGCATTGCAGCCAACCTTCACCATGTGTCTTCCTGCAGGAGCCTTTGGGATGCATAGATATGGCTTATGGGATGCAAAATCAAAACATGTCACGACTTGGATGTTATCTTTGTCATGAGCAGCAGAGGAAAGTGGGCAAAGTCAAGCAGCTTGTTATCATTGAAAAGGGAGCAGGAGGAGGACCTGGGGAACTGCAGCTGCTCAACATGATGTCTGCCCTAGAAATTGTTCTTCAAAAAAGGAATGAACATCAGGGAGAGAGTAAGGTGATGACCAGGCAACGTGGAGATGTCAGGGAGCATTTGTGCCAAGCCCATCTTTCTGCCAATGCTGTAACAGTCCCGGTGTACACAGGAGAAGGAGACATTCCTACACAGAGACTTTGGGATTGGCAACATCTTATGTGACATGCTCACAAGCAAGAGAGGAAGATGTGGCCTCAATGAAACAGCTACAGGGTGGGTGCAAGAGTTGTTGCACAATTAGTCAGAAAAGTTATCAGTTCACTGCCAGAAAGGGAGGGAATGACAAGTATGGACATGATTTGGAGCAGGGCCAACACTGCTATTTTTTGATGTGCAGCTGAAAGGGACTTAAGCACTACAGAGGACAGAATTATAATTCAAAGGGACAGAAGAAGTGGTTTGGAAAAAGCCCATGGTTTGTATTTCAGTGGTCGTGCTGACAAGACAAGATGTCCTGATTTTGGCTGGGATAGAGTTAATTCTCTTCCTAGTAGCTGGTCTAGTGCTGTATTTTGGATTTAGTGTGAGAATAATGCTGATCACACACTGATGCTTTGGTCATTGCTAAGAATTGTTTATACTACGTTAAGGACTCTCCAGTTTCTTGTGTTCTGCCAGTAAGGAGGTGCACAAGAAGCTGGGAGGGAGCATGGCCAGGAGAGCAGCCCCAAACTGGCCAGAGAGATATTCCATACCATAGGACATCGTGCCCAGTATAAACTGGGGAGAATTGGCTGAGAGGGGCCGATCGCTGCTCGGGGACCGGGTGGGCATCGGTCAGTGAGTAGTGAGCAAGCAACATTAACATTAAATTGTTCTTATACCAGCCCCTGAGTCTTGTGTTTTTTCCCCAAATCTCCTCCCCATCCCACCAGGGCAGGGCAGGAGTGAGCTAGCACCTGCATGGTGCTGAGTTGCTGTTTGGGTTAAACCATGACAGAAGGTCAGGGGCATGGGGTCTCTCTCAGTGGGGTGAGAGAAGCTGTCCCAGCTGTTCTGGAAGCCAGAGGATGTCAGAGGGTGGAAGGCTTTTGCCCTTGGGTTGCTACACTTAACAACAAGGCTTGACTGGGGATAGTCCAAAGGGAGCAATAAAAATAATGAGATGTCTGGGATGTAACCTCTGCAGGGAAGCCAGAGGAGACAGTAAGGGACACTGGAGAGATGCAGTGTAGTCCTTAAACATGGGACCTGTGAGGAGGAAGAGGGTTCCTTTTTATCCTTGCCAGTCAAGACAAGACGTGATGGGCTTAAACTGCTCTTTGAGAGGGGATGAACATGTCTTCGTGTGCTTTTCAAGGTACAACCTGATATTTCCTGGTAGCACGCCCTGGCTCCCCTGCTCCTGACTCTTTGTAAGCCAGGTTTAGCAAAACATCCATTCCAGTAACTCACGTGGCTTCTGTGAATTAACTGCTTAGCCCGTGGGAATCATACCATTATCTTCAGAGGAACTAGAAAAATAAAGAATGCATTTAGAAGGTTTTTATTGTTTTCACCCCACCATCAACAATCCCTTTAAGAACATCAAAAGATTAAAAAAACAGATAGAAACATCTGCCAGCATCTCTGGAGACGTGTGTTGCACTTTCTTCTAATCCAGACCAAGTCTTTGGAGCCTGTCCATGCCTTCAAGAAATGGGGGAAGTTTTCTTTTATTTAAGAACCATCTAAAGACCCTTTTACTGGGTTTTGCCAGAGCCCTGTGTCAGCACAGTTAAAAAATGCTGGCATTTCCTCCGTGCAGATGAAGGGTGATCTATTCCCCTGTGCTGCCCAGACCTGATGTACGGTTTCTCTTGCAGAGTCGCAGAGCGCTTTTCCAAGTGCTCTGAGACCCAGCAGCAGGGCCAAGGGCACAGAGCAAAGTCCGGGTACGTGCTGTTTTTCACCTCTCCAGTGTTTGTTCTTCCTTCCCGAGGTCTGAAAGAAGAGCTGCAGGGAGCAGCTTGTCCTCCCGACCCCCAGCATGGCATCGCCCATGAGGAACCTCATCTCCGACCACGCCAGATACGTCCAGTCCTTCCGCCTCTTCCTCGCCAGCTCCACCGAGCACCAGAGCATGCGGGCCTTCCTGGAGGGACAGCTGCCCGCCCTGCTGGCCAGGTAACTGGGGCTGGCCACCTCTGCTGGAGCACAGCCTGGGGCTCGGGGGGCTGCCTGCCAGGGGCAGATTGCTGCTCCCTGCCGCCCGCCCTGCCTGGAGGTCTCTGATAGGGCTTGGCTGGAGGTCTCACTTACAGACGCTGCTGAACGGCTGCTCCTGGGACAGAGCTGCTGAGCAGGGAGGAGATAAGGCTGGACTGTGGACTGTTTCCTTGCATGCAAACACAGCTCACCCCGGCTCAACCCTAACATGTGAAAATGCAGTAACTGATATTACATTCTAATACTACCGTTGATTGCAAGCTTTTTTTAAAAGTAATCTTTTCAGTTAACATTTAGGCTCTGTCTAGTACGTGTAAATAACACTCTGGCTTTGCCTGCTGGTCTGTGTTTGTTTTCTGGACCCCTCACTTTCCAGGCTGGCTCAGGCAGCAGTGGGGTCAAATCCTGGTTCTGGGGAGGCCCTTCTCTTGGGCCAGGATTGTATGGCTCTACCAAGGCTTTGCTAAGGGATTGCGAAGGGTTACACTGTCTCCTCTTCCTCCTCATTTTGCAAAATGTAAAACTTCTACAAATAACTTTTAGCTGGTCCTGACCCAGGGAGGTGTCTAATATCTGCTGCTGCTTATATGCACTTGTAATAAAAGCAGAACTCCTCTACAAATTGCCCAAATAACTGGAAACTAGGAATCTCCAATGAGCAGAGTTGTGAATCTGATCCCCCCTGCCAGTGTGACATGCATGCCTGTATATGCACACGTTGCATTTGATTCTGTCCTGCAGATTTTAGTCTTCATGGGCTCTCCCGTGGTTCACAAAATGGATGTAACCCTCTCTCCTGGGGAGCTCTCTTAAAATCTATAAATAATGTTTTTCAGTATTGGAAATGGGAAGTCTACAATCAATATTCTGAGTGTTGGTGGTGGAGCAGGTATGCTATGAACTTCAGTATTGGTATGCTTCTTTTTTTTTTCCCCAAAGAATAGAAGATTACGAATAATAGAAAGGAGCAGAGTGAAAAATTAGTCTTTTATTGTAAATTCAGCTCGAGGAGCAGATGGCATTAGCTGGTGTGTGATCACATCGTCTGAAAACAGCTTTTGCCTCTCCACCCTGATTCTTTTATGTCCTCCACAAGAAACCTCCTTCTGCACCATCACTTCTTGAGGGCAGAGAAAGGCTTGAAGTGCCCCATAGTGTTTCTCTGAAAAAAAAAAACAAGCCATAATGTCTTGGATTCTTCAGAATATTAAATTTTTACTTGCATTGCAATTATTCTCCCTTCTAATTATTTACTGAGGTGAAAACCCCTCATTGTTGCTACCTCCTGCCCTGCTACATGACAGCCTTGGCTGGCCTCTCTTTTGCCTGTACATACTTGCTGACCACAGTCCATGCACAAGCTACTCCTGGAGCTCCTGTTACCCCTAAAACTGAAGCTAAACATAAGCTCCAGAAGAAATCCAGAAGAAATCAGAAGCAGTAAGTGTCTTATCTGAAGTTCACTGAGTGGAAAAACAATACCAATAATATCAAGTAGATTCTTCTCATTAAGTTCTTGCTTAAGTTCCCCCATAATTAAAGCCTATGTTTTCTAATTATGCTCTGCCCATTAAGTCATCAAACTTAAATTTTATATGAACAGTTAATTTAGTTTAAATGCTTTTGTCATACCATCTCCAAAGACTAATCTCAGCTATGTCAGTCTCTCCTAATAAGTAAAAATTATTGTATGTAAATGATGGAACCTTAGTTAGAAAACAGACAGTGTGACAGAGAAGGAATATTGCTCTTCAAAGGAAACCATTCTTCTGCCAAAACAAAATGTTGTTTTCTAACAGAAACACATTATTTAGTGAGAAACTTCACTTCCTAACTCCTGCTTAGTATGATGGACAGACAGTCAATAATCACAGAATGGTGGGGGTTGGAAGAGACCTCTGGAGATCATCGAGTTCAACACCCCTGCTAAAGCAGGGTCACCTAAATCAGGTTGCACAGGATCACATCCAGATGTGCTTTTAATATCTCCAAAGGAGACTCCACAGCCTCTCTGGGCAGCCTGTCCCAGGGCTCCAGCACCCTCACAGGAAAGCAGTTTTCCCTTATGTTTAGGTGGAAATTTGTGTCTTCTGCTTTGTTCCCAATGCCCTTTGTCCTATCACTTGACACCACTGAAAAAAGAATGGCCCCATCCTCTTGATACTTGTCCTTTAGATATCAATGAGCATTGGTCAGATCCTCTCTGAGTTTTCTCTTCCTCAGGCTAAGCAGCTCCAGGGCTCTCAGCCTTTCCTTGCCACAGAGATGCTCCAGTCCCCTCAGCATCTTTGTAGCCCTCTGTTGGACTTTCTCTGGTAGTTCCTTGTCTCTCTTGAGCTGGTGAGCCCAGAAGTGGACGCAGTACTTCAGAAGTGGTCTCACTAGGGCATTAGTAGAGCAGGAGGAGAACCTTCCTTGACCTGCTGATTACACCTTTCTTAAAGCACCCCAGAACATTATTTGCCTTCTTGGCTACAAGGGCACAGTGCTGGCTCATTGTTAACCTGTTGTTCACCAGGAGTCCCAGGTCCTTCTCTGCAGAGCTGCTTTCCATCAGGTCAGTTTTTCCTCCCCAGGTGCAGGACTCTACACTTGCCTTCATTGAAATTCATTAGGTTCCCCTCCTCCCAACTGTCCAGATCTCACTGAATGACAGCACAGCCTTTGGTGGGTCAGCCACTCCTCCCAGTTTTGTATCATCAGCAAACTTGCTGAGGGTACACTGTCCCTTCATACAAGTCATTAATGGATACGTTGAACAATAATGTGCATGCAAAGCTCATTTTGTGATATACATATCCTAAAATCATGAAAACCCTGCTGCTTGCTGATATGTGCCCATCCTGGCTCCTCGGGCACAAATTCCCAAATCCCCCCAGCTAAGCTCTGGCTGATGCTGGAGGGCAGTGATGGAGCTGCTCCTGGAACCTCATCCACCCCTGTGCTTTGCAGGGAGGAAGCATGGAAGGAGAAGTGTTTTCTTTCCACTTTTCCACCTCGGGAGACAAGAAAACCATTTAATGTAGCACCATATCCCATTACACCCACCCATCTACAGCGCCTGCCTTTGCCTAGACTCTGCCTGATGAAGTTCACACTCCAGCACGCAGCACTCTGTACCTTTAAAAACCATAAAAGTCATCAATGCTGCTATAAAGTAGCAACTGCACTATAAACTATCCCGTTACGTAAAATGTTTAATTAGAAACTTAATGGTGAACATAGTGGTAGCCTTTAAAAGGTAATTGTGTTGGAGAGTTTAAATAATTCGGATAGCCTAATTGCCAAATTGTTGATAATGCAAGCTGCCACAGATTTGACTGTAAAATGCCTCAGGACACTTGTTTGCATATAAAAGAGCTAACTGAAGTCAATTAAGGCTGTGGATTAAATTATGAATCAAAGGGGTGGGGTTTTTTTGGTTAAAAACAATACGAGGGTGGTTTGGTCATACAAGAGTGGAAGGGAGTGTATTAACCTGTCTGCATATGGAAATGTAAAATTCAATTTATTTTTTTTTATCAGGACCTTCACAGCTTTTTCAAAGCACTAATCCATTTTACAGGAAGTGGGTATAGGACCCCAAAATCAAAATATTGCTGTAGTTCATTACAACTTCTCTGTTCCCAGATTTTATCTCGACAGCCTGCAGATGACTGGCTGTGCTCCGATTTTTCTCTACAATGCAGGGTGTGCAGTGACAGCAAAGATGCAGCTATTTCTGCTACTTCAGAAATTCCATTTCCCTCCCTCAAAGAATGTATTTGCACAGATGCCATGTAAAATTTTGGTGCTATTAGTCGCATTGAGAAAGACACCTCAGTTTGAAAAAAATGGAACTTTTTGTCAATTTTTATGTTAAATTCTTAGACTGTTAATGAGCAGGTGAGACCTGGACTGGAGCACCTGATTTTGACCCGTGGTGTTGTGTGATGGGGCCAGAAGCAGGCAGAGAGCCCGATCTCCACAGGTCCTCAGAAGGGGCCTGTCTGGCATCCCAGTTTGCTGAATCTTCCATTCAGCACATGACTTTATCCATTTGTAGGGAATTTTATAGTGTGGAGTCGTGTGCAAGCACAAGCACATCTTTCAGGGCAAGGCTCAGTGTTTGTCTGTAACACAGCCCCTGGCTCTACTATTCACCACAGTTACCCTCTGCTTCACTCTTTCTACCTTAATTTGGTCTCCTATTGTTTTTTCCACCCAAAATTTATCCAAGCACAATAAGCAGAAGAGAGCTCTAGGAAAGCTAAGCAAGCCAGCATGATATTGTCCCTGGACCCATGCCTCTGTCAGGAGCATCAGTTCCCTAAGCTTCATATATTACAGATGGGGAGAAGTGGCCAAGAGTCTTTTTAAATTTTGAAATGTTGGATCTGTTGGCATTTCTATCAGTAAAATAATTGCAGCTGGCCTGAACAGTGTCCAGAGAGAACTGTTTCTCACAAAGAAACTACAGTCAGCCCTGGGGTATTGTGTGAATAGGGGTTAGATAAACACAGGTGGTATGTTCACTATTCATGGTACTTATGGAAAAAGTTACAGGACACTACAGACAAACAGACATGACAAACAGACACATATTCTTTTCTCTCTCACCCATGCGACCTGATAATTAGTGAGGTACTTGGCTAAAAATGCTCTTACTGACTCCTAAGAAATCCTGCCAGGTTCACTGGTGATTTGGGACCATCAGAACTGGTACCATCAAAGACATTTAGGATTTTCCCCAGGAGGTTAGGCCATGTTCAGAAAATAGGAGGTCAAGCCATGTGCATCACTGTGCCTGGTTTTCCCTTGGCACTGATGATGGTAGTCAGAGAGGAGGAGTGAAGATAGCTGGAACTGGTATTTAAGTTTTTTCTCAAATACTAGAGCTAAATCTTCACTGGCCATCTGCTGAGAATACAATGCAGCTACATGTACCTGTGTGGTACATTTTCAGTACATAAATGGCAGGTATCAGTCTTCAAAACTGGGGATGGGATGATGGTGGAGACAACATTTGCCTGAGCTTTGCTTTCATCTTGTCTTTCTTATTACCTGCTTCCCTAGGTGAGATTGACCTGCTGATCCTTTCAAAGGTACAAGCCACATACCCAGGAGTCACCATCAACAACGATGTCATAGAGCCAAATGCTGACCAAATCTCAAAGTACAAAGGTATTTTTACATTAAACAGGTTAAGTTTATATTAAGTACACCATTAAAAAGAGCTGACCAATGGGTGACCCCACATTCAAATGTTTTCATGCCAAAACTGACCCTTAAAAGTTTTAAAAGTCACTATTTTATGCTTTTTTTTTTGGCCATCATTGCTTTTCAACAATGCTCAGTCTCTCATTAAAATCTTAATCTCTTACCCTGCAAAGAACTGTGCATGGCAAAGACTTGGGCTAGGCAGACTTTAAAAGCTAAGCAAGGTGGAAACCAATGGGTGATTGTATGGGAATAGAGTAAAATTCCCACATTTCAGAAAGTTTTCTCCTTCAACTTGCACTGAATCAGGATCCTTCCTCAACATCAAAAAGAAAATTTTAGTGTCTCATGGTAATTCTTGCATATCTTAAAAACTCAAATAACAAATAGCTAAGCCTCACAGTATGGCACTAAATTAGTTACCATCCTTTGAATTAGAAAACATGGAAAGGAAAGCAAAACAGGAAAGACTTCTGCTGTGTGCTCTGTGGCTTAGAGCTTGTTTCTGCCCACCAGCCCAAAGTTCTGAGAAACATTCATGAAGGAAAGCCAACCATTTTCCAAGGAGAACTGAATGTTAGCAGAGGTACTTTGGTCCTATTGCCCTACAAAGAGAGCATTAGATATCAATTCACAGTTTGATTATCACCGGAGTAACACCTACCAGGATTTACCTGAGCAGGTAACTGTGGTTGTGTGTGGAGGTGACAGCAGCTCTGCTGCACAGGCTGTGAGCAGCCCCAAGCAGAGCACACTTTGCCAGAAAGTGGCTGCTGAATGGAGGTGGCAGAAATGAATGAACCTCATCAGCAGCCTGCATTGCTGGAAACGCTCCAAAGCATAGTAAATACCAGACTGTAACACCACATGGTACATCTCTAACTCTGACTCTTGCTGAAGTCTTTAAAAAAAAAAGCATTCCCAGCATGAAGCAACTTGTGGAAGGTGAAGGAAAAAAATAAATAGAAACAATCCACTTCTCCCTCCAGTGGGGGAGTTGAGAGTCAATGGAAGCATCAAAGGCTCCCAGGAAACATAATTTCTTTTAATGTCTGTCTCTGTATTACATGGACCTGATCTTTGGAAAAATGGCTTGTGCCAAATCCCAGGAGTTTTTACATTGCTCCAGGAAGAGATGGTGAAGAATGGGCACAAGTGCATCTGTTCTGTCCATGAGAAGGTTTGGGCACTTTCACATAGCATTTCTATCCTGTCTGGGCTGTGGACCACAGGCTGTTTAGGACTGGATTTGTGCTGAAACTTCCTAAAGGTCTCACCACCTACCACTGATTAACTGGCAGTTCTATCCTGCTTCAGTGAGTTTCTTTCTAGGAGAAAGTTACAGAAAATATCAGATGCTGTCTTTATTTTAAGCTTTATGCTAAACTGGAAATGAAATATTCATCTGTATTTCTTTCTTCAAACTTTCTTATTTGGTAATTAATCATGTCCCCAGTAGGTATCATTAATTAGGTTTCTGAGCCCCAAGATTTTCCAGGGAGAGCTAGAAACATTATCTGTGCCTCAGAGGATTCAGAAGTTATGTTTTCTACCTAACCAGATACTTTCTCCTTGGGAAGGAGAAGCCAAGCTCACAAGAGAAACTCCTTGCAGGGAGGTGCAGTGATGACAAACTGAGGTTTCTCTTGGGCTGTGTTGTACATCAGAGGCTCTCCTCAAAGCCCCATGGCCAGACTGTGGCTTTCCTCCATTCTTGGTCCATGCTCCTGTGAAGTTCACTGATGACCATGGTTGGAGTGTTGGTGGCCTCACAACTGAGCTGTTGCCATTGCCTGCACAGCACAATGGCAGGCAGTCCAGCCTTGATGGCGCCCATCAAGGGCACAAGACCAGCTTCTGGCCCAGATAACAATCTGGGTTGAACCCTGGAAAAAAGTAAGGAAAACTTCAGTGGTTCAGGTGATGTGTTTTGACTTCAGATAAATCTTTGGGCAGAAACTTCCCACGATCAGAATAAGTTTGCCCTTTCTGAATTTTTGACTTTAAAAGCCCACTGTGGCAAGCAGTTCAGTTTTCTCCCTAGCATCTCCTCACAGCCTGTCTAGCAATTGAATTGAGCCAGATTGCACCAGATTATTTGTGATGATGACACGAACTGCTGCTGAAGGAAGCCTGGCTTAAAACAGCAAATTAAATCTGAACTGCAAGCACCGGGGCCAGTGGCTGATAAATGGAAATGAGCAGAAGAATGGCAGCATCTGAAAGGGGTGGCCCATTTCCAACCCTAAAAGAGAGGAGATAAGCACCGATGGAGCATTTCTCATCTGCCCGACAGGCATATGTCCTAATCAGAGCCCAGAAGGAGAAGCATTGTGATTAGTGGTGTAAAGGCGCTGGTCTTAGCAAATCATGTTGTTCTGAACATGTGTTCTGTAGCTAAGGCTCAGTCTGCCTTTGGGCCATCTAAGTTTTAAATTGATGTTAACTCCAGTGGAGCACAGGAATGGCATCCGGGCTGGCTCTGTCCTGGGGCAATCCCGGGCGCCAGGCAGGAGCGCAGTGAGACGAGCTCCATATGCCAGCAGATGGACATTAGTATTCCTGCATCCCCTAAAAGATGAAATTCTCTCTCAGCTTTCTCACACAAAAAGCAAAGAATTACAGCGATGAGCCAGGCCCTTGAGATAACTTATTCCTTGAATCCACTGCTCCAGCTTTCTGCTTTCCTCAGAAAACATCCCATGTGTCACTCTTTACTGTAGTCTTTATTTTAAAACACTATTATCCCTTTTACCTGAAGCAACTGGTCAAAACTGTGGCCTTTTGAAAAATCATTTCAACACAACAGAAAACAAATGCCAGGAGATGGATCTTTGCTCACAGAGCAAATCTCCTTCCCTTTCCCACCATGCCAATGGCACATTCTCAGAGTGAGCCATTTGCTTTCTCTGCCCTTCTCGAGTTTTTAGTTGTGCCTCTCTCCAAAATAAGCCCCACTTTGATCCATCCATCCATCCATCCATCCATCCATCCATCCATGAGCCTTTGCGTTTATTTATTTAGTCTCTGGAAAACCCTTTACCATGGCCTGGCTTCTGCTCAGCCAATTGGGTCTTGCGTGGGACCTGAGTGAGGGGGCCATCAGCTGTCCATTTTGGCACAAAACGTGCTGCTCATGGCCTCCTAACTGTTCATCCCAGCCAACGCCCTTTAACTCAGCCTGAGCCAGTCGTGGGGAAGAGTTTCTTCTTTTTCTTCCAGGTAAAAACTGGAGGAGCCCAAATGAGTGTGCAAAGGGAAAAGCATCAGACCTTTTAAGACTTCATGCTACAAAGACCTTTACAGCTCCCTTCTCACATACAGGCTCAAAGTTTAATATTCCACTACTGTATTAAATTGATATCCAAACTCTCTACCTAAATATGACTTTTGCATGTATTGAAGCTATGAATGGAAATTGGTCTTGTATTTGCAATTGAGATAACTGTCCTGCCTTCTCCTGTATTTCAGAGCGAGTGGCTGAGACATCAAACCTTGAGAATGTAAAGTTTACCTGGCATGAGGAGACAGCTTATGAATATGAAAGTCGAATGAGTGCAGAAAAGAAGCCTAAAAAATGGGACTTCATTCACATGGTCCAGGTAAAAGTCTCTGCTCAGTTAGTGTTGTCAAAGACTTGGCTGTTAAAAGCATGCATGAAGTATGTGACCTCATTATCTGCTCTAAAGGGGAAAAAAGGTGAGTTTATTTCTCTGTAATTTGAAGTATTTAAGCGTAAGTGAACTGCAGAAATGAAAGATGAGTTACAGCAAAGCAACTCTGAGCACAATAGTCCTATTAACCAGGCTGTGGGTGGCAGTTGACTAAAAATACATTTTAACTAGTGTTTTCAAAGCTCATTGTCCTCTCCGTGAAATTGCCTTTGTATTTCTCAGTTTACAGAAGCCATTACAAAGCCATCTTCCCTGCTAAGAAAGGCAAATTTCTTTCACTGAGGTTAATAAATGAACATGAGGTTGGGCCTGGGAGAGCCAGAGAGCAGGCAAGGCAATGACATCCCTGACCTTGCAGCACGAGCCCACTGCCTGGCATCGTGCTAACGTGTTTTGTTGTTCCGTTGCTCTCCTCTCAAGATTGGCCCCATTTGGTGTCTTTTACCTAGTGTATGAGTTATTAACATTCACCAGGACTGCACCACACTTCTGTAAGCATCTCTGCTCTTTCCAGATGCTGTATTACGTGAAAGACGTCCCAGCGACTCTCCGGTATTTCCACAGCCTCCTGGAAACACAGGGAAAGCTCCTCATTATCGTGACATCAGGTGAGAGCTGCTCACTCGTGCTGCCCACCTGGGCAAGAGCCACAAAGACTTTGAGGTTCCTGTGAGTTCAACACAGGCCAGCTAAAAAGCAACGCACGTTTTTATTTCAAACATCTTTTATCACCTATAGAGGTGTAGGAGCTGGTAACAAACGGTGTCCCCTCACCTACAGCCACTGAAATCTGCACGTTGTCTACATCTGCACAGCCCTGTGCTGCAGATTGCAAAGCCAAAGGCTCTGTGGGCCAGCAAACCCCTGCCATGGGCACAAAACACCTTTCTCTCACCCTCTGCCCTTCCCCATCCTCCAGCCTGGCCACTGATGGGCAGCAGCAGAGAGCCCTGAAGCGGGTGAGAGGCTCCATCCTGTGACCTGCCCTGGCACAAGCTCCTTCAGGCTCTGCTGTTTCCTGCAACAGGCTTTTCAGGCTGGGTACCACATTATCTCACTCCTGGAGACTTGCAGCATTAAGCAAATGGCTACGGCCGGGCTTGGCTGTGCCATGCAGCAGGTGTTGGAGCACATATGGTTCATTTTGTTCTCAAACTGCCCATTTCCTTAATATTATCATTTTGGGTGGAAAACAGCATTCTTAGGCTGTTTTGGATCTCAAAGAGATGTTCTGTGGTCAACCCAGCAGGAAAACAGAGGAGCAGAGTAAATGATGACCTTTTAATCCTGTGGGCAGGGTGTGCTAGAGATACTATAATGGTGGGGTCTAATTTGCTTCCAGAAAGCCTTTAATTTTTAATTCCACAAGCTGTGGAATTCTAGTTACACCGACAGTCCCATCTGATATTCTTGTCAGGGATGTTAAGTGCTATTTGCTCAGAGGTTTAAACTTAATTTCTTATTGAATTTGGCCATGTCTGCAAACTGTATTGTATTTGATGAAGTTCCTCTTCTGTGTTCATGAAGTGTCCACAACAGTGACACTTCTCTGACCTGAATTTATTTAACCTGTTTTTCTCCAAAATCTTTTTGATTTAAAGTGTTTTCAAGCAGCTTACTACAAGAAATCCATATTTAAAATTATCTGAGTTACTGTTCTTGTTCTTTGACTGCACAAGAGTAGATCACAGTACCAGACCACTGCAGATTATCTGTGTATAGTTAATTGAAACTCTTTTCCAGTTGCTTAACCTGTCCCTTTGGATATTAATGAAATGTGAATACAGGGAGGAATACATGTCTACTCAAAAGTAATATAATTAAAAACCCGAATTCCTGAAAAGTATTTGAAGTCCTCTCTGGGCTGGGAAACACTGTGTTTTCTGGTGGGCAGAATGAAGCAGAAATTGCTGGGGCCAGCAAGAAAATGGGAGAGAGGAGTAGGGTGCAGGAAGGAAAGGAGGGGAGAAACCTTGGGGGAAAGAAGAGTACAGAGAGGGGAAGGAAGGAGTGCTATGAACATGAGCACTGGAGCAAAAACAGCTACTGAAAGATAAGCAGAACAAAGCTCATTTCAGGAAATGAAGGTAAAGCCATCTCCAACACAAACACATTAGGATGTGTTAATTAAAACCCAGCCTGGGAATAGGATTGATAGGAGAGGGCTTGGTCAGTCGCTGAAGGTTGCCACCCCTCCTGCTCCGTCCCCGCCGGGAGAGCAGGCGAGTGGCAGGAGCTGTGCAGAGTTATCTTTAATCCATTTAAAGAATCTGTTTACATCGCTTTGAAAACAAAAGCAGTGCCATATGCTGAGCCTGCTGAGAGCTGTTACAATAATGCTGCGTTCAGGTAGTGTATAATTACCCAGCTCAGAGATGGCACTGAGTCACACAACACTGACACCAGCAAATTTCCTGCAATTAGTGCTCTGCATTCAATTTCCACCAGGTGAAAGAAAATATTGTAGCCCCTCTTCTAAACACCAAACTGTTTATTTGACTATAAATAACTGTTTGCAGATAAAGCATTTGCAAAACCGCCGAGCAACTGGTTTTTGTAGTTATGGAGATTTATAGTCATAACTCTCAAGAGCTGCTCATTAGGCTCAAAGTTATTTTCATCCCATCCAGTCATTGTGGGTGATCCTTTTACAAGTGATTTATAGTAGAAATGCTGAATCAGATCTCCAGGCTGGGGGAAAATAAATATGTGAAGACATATCTGGGGAGTTTTCAGCTTACCCAGCTGGTTTTCTTTGTAACACATCCCTGGAGGCATGGGCTCAGTTATGGAGGTGGTTGCAGTGCTACAGGAGCCGTGTCATTCCTCACTTTTCATCTTGGCACACCAAAATTGTACACAGCCCAAATGTCCTCCTGGCACGACTGGGGAGGTCTGCCTGGGGTGAGGAGAAGCCCTCTCATTGCGTGTGCCAAACAGCATGTGAGCACGATGGGAGTGAAGGCTGGGAGTATGGTGGACCTTCATCCTGGGCTCTGCCCATCTCACTCTTTTCTCCACCATACATCCAGCTGCATGGACAATGTGGTCAGGGTTTGGCACCTCACCTACTTCAGGTAGCAGAGAGAGAGAGAGCACACCAAATTTGTCACACAGCCCAAATGTCCTCCTGGCATGACTGGGGAGGTCTGCTTGGGGTGAGGAGAAGCCCTCTCATTGCCTGTGCCAAAGCATGTGAGCATGATGGGAGTGAAGGCTGGGAGTATGGTGGACCTTCATCCTGGGCTCTGCCCATCTCACTCTTTTCTCCACCATACATCCAGCTGCATGGACAATGTGGTCAGGGTTTGGCACCTCACCTACTTCAGGTAGCAGAGAGAGAGAGCTTACTGATAATAGGCATTTCAATGAAGCTCATGTGTAACTCAACCACATAGTAATTAGGTGAAGAAATAGGAGAGGATTTAGTCTTACAAAGAGGGAGCTGAAGTCTAGGGAATAGCTTAAATTGAGAAGATGGCACCAAATAACTTGTGTTCAGCATGTGGACTGCAGGAGGATGTCCTGCAAGAGCTCACCTATGTGTGGGAAGGAGAGGGGTCAGTGTGTTGGAAGGGGGGAGGATTAAGTGCTCATCTGGTGCCTCAGTGGGAGGTGCTGGAGCTCCAGGGTAGGTAAGGTGTCCATGCCCCCCTGCAGCCCCCAACCCAACCAGCAGGGAGACAACCATCTCCACCGTGCCCCAGGACACAGCTGAACTCTCAAGAGATCCTGCCCACAACAAGGACAACTGCTAAAAAAAAAATCAGATGATCAAAAATCTGTTCAGAGAGTGTTTTTCTTTATTGCTGAGCATTTTTCTGGTGGTTTATCTCTTAGAAATCAGTGGCTGGGAAACGCTGTGGAGGAAGTATGGGCCTTCCTTACCTTTCCAAGATCTCTGCTCTTACATTTCTTCTGCTGACATCAAAAGGATACTGGATTCAGCTGGGCTGAAGTACCAGGCCTATGAGCTCCCATCCCACATGGACATAACGAGCTGCTTTATTGAAGGGAACAAGGATGGGGAGCTGCTGCTGGATTTCCTGACAGAAGTGTGTGACTTCTCTAAAACTGCTCCACCTGAACTAAAGCATCAGATAATGGAAGAGTTAAGAAAGCCTGAATGCAGTGAAAAAAGAGATGGGAAGGTGCTTTTTAATAACAACCTGAGTGTAATAGTGGTTGAGCCATGAGATAACTTCTTGTTTCTTGATTCAATGTGGATAGACAGATACAGGCTGTTAACAGTTGAAATATGTTTTCCATACTTTGTGAACAGCTTAGGTTACCTCAGTACTGATATAATTTTTGGAGCCTGCTAAGAAATCAGTATAATCTCTTGATATAAGTGATCTTTAATACCCAATTAATTCTGCACTAATTATAAATGTGTAACTCAATAAGCAGTTGAATGTGCATTATTACATGGATGTTGTATAATCAGATGTAACTTGGACCATCCACCCAGGCACTGCAAAAACTTGACCATTTCCTAAGAAGTAAGCAAGAATGATGCATGTTTTCATCATCTTCATTTAAAACTCTCTACAGACAGAATAAACAAACTACAACTTCTCAGTGCAGCTGTTAAGAGTGGAGGCTCAGAGGGACTGACCACTTGGGTAGCTGCTCGATGGGGTTTCTTGAGTTTGCTGTGACTTCAAGATCTCATACCTCCAGTCACTGTGAATATGGCCTTGAACCTTCTGCATGTGCTATGGTTGCTTGCTCCTGCCTTTGCAGCCAACCCAATTTAGTGTCACTGCCTCCCTCTCCTTGTATTTTCACTTTACTTCCATGATGTTGCATCTGCAGAGCTATTTGTGGACCATGTGTCTACTGGCACTGCAAAAGCAAAGTGATTGAAGATGGTTGAGGAACAACAGTGGTAACAACAGTCCTGGAGAGGTGGATTTCACTAATGAGCCCTGATGCAAAGCCTTTGTTAGGAATTAGCTACTGCTGTCACATTGGGCTTTCTGGGATTTTTAGCTAGACAGACAAACCTCCAGGTAGCAAGGGCCATGCATGGAAGATGTAAAAAACCCTTCTGATGCCAAACTGACAGGTTTCAATGGGATTTGGTACATTTTCAATGGGGTCATGTCAGGTAAATCTGTTCAATATATAGTATAGGATGTTCAGCAAGAAGGTGCTTCACCTCCTTGGTCCCTTCTCCATGTGGGGCCACTCCAGTAGCTGGTGCATGTGCTTTGCTAAATGATTGTGTGGTTTTAAGAAGTGTTATGCTCTCCACAAGGCACAATGCCTAGTGCAATACCATACAGTCACTTGAATTAATTTAATAGCCTGAATACTCAGTTTATTCAATGGTACACGTGGTTTCTGACATTGAAATAATTTGGTTCAGTGTTGAAATGGCTTTCTTTGGATAATGCTTTAGCTGCAAGAAACTCTGTTTTAGTTTTGCATATACATTTCTGGTACAATATAGACTATTAAAGATTTGAACTGATGTTTACAAGAATGTGTTGGTCATTAATAGCTGTTTATATTCATTTTTAGTGTGAACTATTTGAAACACACTTCTCTCAGAGATCAGCTATTATTTCCAGTGTATTTTAGAATGTTTCCATGATATTTCTCAGCTGTTGAACAGGACAAAATCTATTACCACTTTTATACAGTACTCTGTGCAGACTCCTTCATCAGAAAACCTCAGTATATTTGTAAGCTGCTACAGTGACATTCTGAAATGGGAAAGAAAGAAAATCTCTCATTAGGCCAGATCGCCATACACATTTCTAATGGGAAACAAATTAGAGTTACAATTATTTTGGTAGCTCTATTTGTGCCATCAGTGACCTCTTCTAAATGGTGCGTGTGAAGGAGGTGACTGCTGAATATTGCCACATCAACCCTGTCAGGACTGACGTATCTTTGGGAGCCACAGAGGTGCCAGAACAACAACAACAACACCCAAATCCAACAACAAAGCCCAGCAAAAAGATGCACGTGCACATCCTGTCCTTTCCTGGTTTAGCAGAGGTATAAAAGACAAGGAAATAAAAGCCTTTTAGAATTTTGGGAGGAGGTTTGTTCTGAAAATTTGGGAGAGGGCAAGAAAGATGAGCAACAGCAGCAATGATGTGAAGAGAGGAGGACATGCATTCATCTTGAATTTCCTTTTTGTATGTGTGAGTTCCTTCCTCTCTTTAATTGGGCAGGGAGAGGGAGCACTTGCTGGGTGTATGGCATTGCATGTGGTCTTACTTAAAAGCAGATTTACTAGGGGAAAAGGCACTTTGACCCCAGCCTGGAGAAGAAAACTCCTTATCTGAAACCAGACACGCCAGAGTGGTCCTCTGCCATTGCTTTGGCTTCCGAGGAGAATATAATTAAAAAATGGGAGGGGAAAAAAATGCAGTAAATGACATTTTGCATATGCAGCTTGTTCTGTTAAGGGGCTGAGGGAAAACTGAATCAGAAGAGCACCCTTAAGGGATAAATTATTTTTAATTTTAAATTTGTAACACACACATTTCCAAGAAGTAAGCACTGTAAGTATTATTTAGTAGAAAATGAGTGTGGGGAAGCACAATTTTATGCTCATTTGACCATAAAAACCAGAGGATTTTTTGCCAGTCTTTCAAACAACTTCCTAATAGGCTGAAGGACTACATTTTCATGTGAGAATCACCCTTAATTGTACAGCAGGATACTGCTATTCCAAAGCGTGTTTGGGGAGTCCAGCCTGTCCATGGAGTGGGATTTATGTGGACATTTGGAGCTTACCTGGGTGTTTTTCCTCACAGAAAGCCTGTCTTATCTCAACCAGTATAAATTTCTTCCCAAAGCACATCTCCACACCAACTTTGGTCTTCACAAACCCCCATGTGGATGTGTGGCTAACAGGATGGGTCTTCCTCACTTGCACACCTAGAAAGTGAATTTATAGGCTTCATATAGAGGTTCATCAACAGCAATAGTCTTAAACCAGTGTAAGAGTGATTGAAACAAGCTGGGTGTCAGGCTGCCTGTATTAAAAATACACCAGAAATATTCCTGCAGGTTCCTCATGCATGGGTGCCCCTTTCTGGCTAAATAGGAGTTTCAGATAGGAAGTGTAAGCGTTCCACAGAACTGTAACTGGATAAATGCAGTCCTGAACACTGCATCTGTGTGCTCATCACCAGCAATGGTTCTCAACAGTCTTTGGTTTTAAATTGAGAGACATCTCTTCTTCTTTGTGTTTTCTGGGCATATAAACCTGGAATATACAGATTATGTTACAGGTACAGGATGAAAAAGCTGGAGGGACAGAGGAGGAACAGCTCTCGTTTGAAACAGCAGGTAAGCACCCAGGCCTGTGTCCCTCTGATAAGTAAGCATGAGCTCATGGTTCTGGTGCTGCATCAGATGATTATTTCCCGAAGTAATTCCCGTGGGGGGTTTGCTGTGCAGGGAAGGAAACAGTCCAGTATCTGTGGAGGAGGCATGGCTTTGGAGTGCTGCCGCGGGGGAAGGCTGGGGGAGAGCACAAGTGGGAGAGGAAAAGCCTGACCCCCTCCAAAGGAGCCTGGTCCTCACACACATATTCCCTCTGCATCAGACACCTCTGCCAGAGCAGCCTCAGGGCTGTTACTTTAAATCATACCTAGAAAGATATTCACACTGCTCTGTTAATTACAGCAGCAAATTGAACAAAGGCACTTACAGCTCAGTTGCTGTCGCCATTTCTACATTGGTGTAATTCATGCTTGCAGCCCATGATAGGAATTTTTAATGTCATTACACGGTAGGGCATAGTCTTCTTTTTTAATAAAAATACAAATGATAATATGAAATGGATTAATATCTAATTTTACATCTTCATTTACATGATGTGCAAAATTATCTTAAGTATTTGTTATGGATGGAGTGGCTTTCCACCAATTTAGGCTTTTTTTCGTACTGGAGGATGTTAACATAAATTGTAGCATAAATCATTGCCTTGTAGAGTACCAGAAGGCGCATATAAAAACCCATATCTTTACTGCACATATTTCCCATTAACCATAATCTATTAGTAATTGAAGTTCATTACAAATTCTTGTAGACTTTATTGCTATCATGCTGCATGACATAGTGAACCTGGCTTGCATAACAAGAAGTCCTTGCTGGGAAATATCCTATTAACAATGACTGTGCATTTGTCATTGTGATAATAAATCCAAAGCTGCCTGTAGATTATAAATTATTGCGGCGCCATTTCCACTGTTGTAGTTTAAAAGTTTTGTCAGCACTTCCATTTTAAACTCCTGCTTTACAGGCAGTTATAACTTGACCATAAAAATCTGCAGTGAGCTGAATCTTGGCTTACAAGGTCTCAGCCTGAGAGCGAGTTTCTTCCCCCAGTAAGATTCATATTTCATCCACATGAAAATCTTACAAGCAGAAGCTGGTGTTTATGGCAGATTTTTTCCTTCTGTATTTGCATAGCTTCTAATTGGAAAAACCAAGCCGTTTGACAGGCAATTTGTCCATAATCTTTTTTACAAAATAGATTTTGGTAAAATTTAAAAATGTGTCAAGACAAAAAGATGGGAGACAGGCTGATCTGAGTGTTTCCTGGTTTAGCACCTGAAAAAGCCTCAGTCCTTATCTCCAGGTGCCATGGACTCCAGGGAGACATTGGGCAAATCCGCTTCTCTTCAAAGGAGAGACTAAAATGATGCCACCCATATACTGTGCAAAGGTGTTTTGAGGATTAATTACTAATGCTGCAATTCTGGCATCCACTCAAGTCACCCTTCATCATGTCTGTGCGATTCTTTGAGCTCTATATAGGTTTTAAGTGTTATTAACAGAAAATTGCCATAGAGTTGAACTTTAAGTGTTAATTATGACTTGAGATATAAATGACATCAGGTCAAATCTTTCACAATTTAACTCCGTAATTGACTTCAGCTCGCTACACCAGGGGATATCTATCCAGCTGAATGCATCTGTCTATCATATTTCTCAAGTGCCTATAGCAATGCATCCAATTAGCTGGATGTAACCGTCACGTCTAACTGCTCTTAAATAGTGTAGGATGAAGCCACCTCCCTGAAATCACCAAGAAAACTTTTCCTCCCACCAGTGAGGCCAAGTTTTCATGTCATCCTGCAATACATGCTCTATATGGAAGCACTGCTCATGTTTTCATGGGGTGGGTAATGGAATTTGCAGTAGAGATATTAACTGTCTT